CCCCCCCCCCCCCCCCCCCCATCTGTCTGAAGTGGTCTAGTTTTCAGAGAGAGTTTTAATTACAGGAAACGAGCTGCAATTACTTCTTTTGATCGTGGCAGGGTGGGGTCTGTCCACTTACACGCACACTCTCTAACCATATATGCCCACACACACACATACATATACCAATCACTTATGTATCCGCAGACATAAGGAATACACACAACGCAGACAAACGGAGTGCATGACAAGAAAATGTAAAGACATGGAAAAGTCACCGACCGGGCCGACGCATAAATTCAATAATGTGTATGAATAATTCCTCTGATGTTGATAGTTTGACCTTATCTGCTGAGTCAGAGGAAAGTAATTAGCAATGAGTCAAACGCTCTTCACGCCTTAACCACAGAAAGAGACGCTGAGCTAGACTTGATTGAATTAGTGACAGCTGAACCCCAAAACAGTGCCAGACCTCGGGCTTGTAACTGGCATTGCTTGAAATGTTTGTTTTTAGTAAACTGAACCACATGCTCATGAACAGGAAGTGACTGATATTGATTCTGGAGTCTTTGCAATGACGCAAATAAGATTACAACTCTGATCGACACATGCATATACCAACCTAAATCTGACTTCCTTTCTCCTAGCTCTTCCGAGAGGTGAGGATCATGAAGATGCTGAATCACCCCAACATAGGTGAGTCACACTGAGCACCAGACTTCTTGGTGTTTTTAAGGTCATATGTTCAACCAGAATCCTAATAATCCTTTTCTCTTATCTCTTTCATTTTTGCTTTCGCTCTTACTCTCCTGGCCTTTCCATTTTATCTCCCTTCCCTTTACTCTTCCCTCCCCCTCCAATCCACTGTCTTTGCCTTTCTCTCTCTCTCTCTCCACCTCCAGTCAAGCTCTTTGAGGTGATAGAGACAGAGAAGACTTTGTACCTGGTAATGGAGTACGCGAGTGGAGGTGAGTGCGTGTCACTGTGAAATCGTTCCTCCTGAGGCTTGGCACTCTGTATGTTCGAAACAAATGGTTCCCAAATGAAAGAACTACCTCCCCTTGTTATGTACAGGCTAAAAAGTACTTTGTCCAAAAGATGGATATTACAAATATCCTGTTTTTATTTGATTTGTTTTGTTCTCTTTGATTATTGGTTATTGACCACCTATATCACCTTTGCATTGAGAAACACTGACATTGTAAATTGTTGTTTAAGTGTTTTTAAAGGAAAATACTTTTAATGTCAGTGTCCCCTTGACTTAATACTCCGGCTTTAAGGAGACGAGTATCAGGTTCCAGCACTAAAATGTCTCTCCTGCTCTTTCTCTGGTCTCCCAGGAGAGGTCTTTGATTACTTGGTGGCTCACGGCAGGATGAAGGAGAAAGAAGCCCGTGCCAAATTCAGACAGGTTTGTGTGTGTTGGAGAAAATGCATATATATATATATATATATATATTTATATATATTTTTTTTTTTTTT